GAAAAAAATGATAAAATATAATATAATAGTTAATAAAAATTGACAAATATTTATAATCATTGATTTATCGATAGTTCATCAACTATATATGGCGCGTTTTCGACCGGAGGCACCGGTTGACCTGAAGTGATGCTGTGACCGCGCGCTTTCCGCCCTCTATCTCGAAAACGGTTCACCGTATAAAAAATTTTTTCAAAACAAAATTTGTAGATAATTTTGTATTCTACAATATTGATCATAAATACAAATAGCAAAAAACCCATAGGAAATGAGATATTTCCAAAAAAGCGCAAAAAAACAATTTTTGTGACCTTTGACCTTGAAATTTAATAGTTGCTTACACCCTACCATATGTAGGGTGTCAATATACAAGTATTTACAGACTTACAGCTGGGTATCTCGAATTCCGAGGTGAACTTACTATAATGACTGGACTAACGGGTGAAAACGTAACATTACTTTTTTCTTCTACATCAGTTATAATGTCTGCTCATATACATACCTCGATTGCAACATAAAAATCGTTTTGGGCGTAATATAAAGCTACCGGAGCAGTCGCTGCAGACATATTGAAATTTGGTGGAGTTAAGGAGTTGTACTTGATCAAATTCTGCAAGCCATAATCGTAACGTCTGAAGTGCCCTGAAAATGATTGACACAAAATCATAGATTGTGTTGAGGACTCATATAATGAATTCATCATCAAATTCTTTTATTTTCATTATAATTTGTATTATTATTATAGCTATGATCCATGAACAATTTTCTCAATAAATAAATCGCAAACGAATATGAACCAAGGTTTTTTCTTCCGACTTTCAGGAATGGAATGATTGGATGGACAGAACGAATAAGGCTATTCGCACACTGGTGACTTTTTAGAACCGTTTCAAAAAGAACTGGTGATCAGCAGGTATGCGTTCGATGAGCTATCATCATGTTTATAGAAGGAATGTGCATAGAAACCCTGGCGTTTTAACCGATTCATTTTTGTTCTGCCAAATCATTCGACACGAAAAATGAGATTGATCAAACTCTGTATTGGCTGTTTGAAAAGTTTTGTCCATTATCAAACTGTAATATCTCAGTGAATACTTGTCAATGGAGTAAACAAAGGCCGTTTTTGCCTGGTCCTGATTGGCGAAGGTTCTGGGGAGTATGGTGGGTGAGGCAGAACTTCGACATTCAATTCGTTTAATTTTCGGAAGGTAATTTATGAAAAGTGCTGACGGGCGTTGTCGAGCTGTTGCCGACGAAATTTTCGGTACATTTTGTCGATTTCCTCACGATATGACTCTGCTGTGATGGTTTGGTTCGGTTGCAGAAAGTTATAGTGGATCATACCAGCCGTTGGCCACCGTACAGAAACCATGGTTTTTGTTGGTGAGTTTCCGCCTCTGGGAAGTGCCTGGATGGCTCATCGCTGTCCATCCTGAACGTCTCTTTTAAACGATACACTTTTCATCACACGCGACGATCCGATCCAAAAAAGGATCGTTTCAGTTGCTCAAAAGCAAAAACGAACATACCTTGAAACGTGAAAATTTCTGTCGATCGTTCAAACCGTTGGATACCTACTTTTCGAGCTTTATGACCTTTCCAATACGTTCAAAACCACCAAAAACTGTTTGGGAACTGATGACCAGTTCATGCCACGGACCCTTTGTGATGGCCTAGTCTCCACCATGGTGCTCAAATCCTCGTCCTGGATAACTGTAGGTCAAGCACTTTGGGGCTCATCTTCGAAGCTAAAATCTCCGGAACGGATTTTCGCAAATCAATGTTCATTAACACTATCATTGCCAAATGGCTGGTTAATTTTTCGTGCTGTTTCGGCAGCTCTTTGGTTCAATTTGAATTCGTAGAGAAATATTGACCGAGAATCGTTTAACGACATCATATGGTAATAAGCTGAAAAGATGCAAAATATTGAAATTTGCAAAAGAGCATTGAGTCCTTGCCCCTTTGAATGTAAAATGAGTAGTAAAAGACAAAAAAGGAACGTCTGACCGAGAATCGTTTAACATCATATGGTAATAAGCTGAAAAGATGCAAAATATTGAAATTTGCAAAAGAGCATTGAGTCCTTGCTCCTTTGAATGTAAAATGAGTAGTAAAAGACAAAAAAGGAACGATGTGTTTGGATATAAACACCCTCTATGCCTAGAAAGGCCACTCAAAAATGCCTTCGTTACCCTCAATTCAAATTTGCTCAAAGATTCTCGCAAATTCTTCATCATATAGTTTTGAGTGTCCTTTTCATCATTTGTCGAACTCCATCATAAACTAGAAGACGAACCATAGTTCTCCGACTCTACAAGATCTTCCATTTCTTCAGGGTTTTTCATTGTATTGCGCGATCAAGATTCATGAAGTCTTGCAGTGATATTTCAGCTACCATTTTCAGAGTTTTATTTTTGCATTGCAATTTCTGTACCTTCTGAAGAAACAGATATATTTTTGTGTTGTTTCGCTGTTGATTACGATGACATCAGAAACGTAAGTGCTTATACGCCACCTCGTGAAAACCTCCGAGTCCAACCGAAGATGCGCATTAACCACGGACTCGACGGACATCTGCGCATTTTCAAGCAGTCGATCGATGATACGCGAACGATACAGTTTTTCATCATCTCCTTGAGATACCTACTTGGTTGGTGAAAACAATAAACATATCTGGTAATTTGGAAAAGAGTTTGTGTTGGATTTATTCTACGTCAGACGTTCTAGTTTTACCGTTTAACAGCTCATAATGTATCTGATTTATTTTGGAATTTTTTCGATGTCTTATGATTTCTGTACGATTCATCTCGCTCAATATGAAGGAAAATGTGTAATATAGTTTTCCATTCCTTTCATTCCAGTGTGATGTGGGGGATATTGTTGCTTGACAGAGTACAATAAGTCTTGCTCGTGTTCTGTTTAGCGTTTAATGGCGACCATACGTTCGATACAGTCGTTTAGTTTTCCATATTTGGTTTCTGGAGAGAAAATGGGACCTGCTTTCTGAAATATTGAAGACAATTTCTTCTAACAGTCGAAAATTGATAAAGAAAGTGTTACTCATAAACAGCTGAACTTGAATAATCATTCTGAATTTGATATTTAGAAAATAAACACAAATATTGATAATTTTACCAACCATGAACTTGAAATGACCCTGAGAATGTGTGTCAGATATTTTTTTAAATTGCTAGTCGTTTGAAGAAACGAAACTACCTCGAAACGAAATGCGGAGCCAATTTTGTTTCGGTAGGCATGTGTTCTCAAAAAGACTGTTTATTCTCGATATTCGTAGATAATGGTACGCTCAAACTATTATTTTTTATTCTTTCAATGCCTCTGTGAAATACCTATAGTTAATCTAAGCTAATCATACCTAAGCTTTAGCTTATTTTCTTGTACCTGTTTTGTCAAATAATCGTTAAGAATCACCCTGTTCTACTATAGGTACTCTATTCATCTCGAGATAAGCATACGGTACCATTCATCTAGGTAATCGCGCGTCGAGAAAACTTGTACAGTTCTGGTGTGATGCTAGGTCTATTCTGCCAAATCTCAATACGGAATAAATTGATAGCGAATCTTACCAGATTTCACCAGTTGCAGAAGATGTTTTACCATCTTGAAAGAAACACCAGCCGGATCATTTGTGGCCAAAACTGGGAGGAGATTCTGAAAAACTTTAGATAGTAAATTATTCGAAATATTGACAATGAAAAATCATATAATACGACTTCATCCTTCACTACAGTTGTTTTTCGGAATTCTTGGCTCCGCTTTCTTCATCGTCTCATTACCCAATTTTTCAACTTGTGTGCGCCACTGTCGACTGAGGGACAGTCACAGTGTAGCGCAACTCTCCTCTTTTCCCGTATCCCGCTTGCTATGGAATCTAGTGACTTCAACACAAACTGTGTCGTAGATATTCGTTTGCTGAGCCCATTTATATCTATAATATCAAGGTATTAAGTACACTCTCAGCGGAAGGTTAAGATATGAATGATTTTTCATTCTCACTTGTGTAAGCACATGAATACTCTGCACCTCATCATAAATATTCCTGGAGCTGAGGTCTAGAGCTCAGCTCTAGAGCCGAGGTCAATGAAGTATGTGCCCCAAGGATATTGTTTTGTAGCCAGTGCCACATATTCAATTTTTATCGAGGTCTTTAATAATCACAATAACGTATCACCTCTGGGAGTCACTAGAGGGTCAAACTATAGAATTTTTTGGGTCTACACATCAGATAGTCTTCTGAAGGTCATTTCAATCATACGTCATTGTGATGTAATTTTTGTGAGGGAGGTCCAGAATCGGTTCAAATCTTCTACTGTTGGTGATATGGAATATAATATAGGGATATAATGGAACCGTAGAAATTAATTTTCAATTGTGCTTTAGGAGAATCCTAGTAGAACTACACATATTTTGATTGACAACCTAAGAAAACCAGGAAACTTTTTGATTTCTTCAGTTCGGACTTCCATTGTCTAATATGAAATATCATTTGAAATCCCTGAGAGAACAAATAAAATTGAAAATTAAAATGAGGAGTTGAAATAACAATTATGTCAAATAAATTCGAACGCTGCCGATGGTCCTGTCTCTTGGTTAGCCATACTAAGTAGATGTAAGGAGGCAACTCCGGGTTCGGTGAGCGGGAGGAAGCCCTGCGAAATCCTGTTGGTGTGGGGTGAGGGGTGGTACCCGCAAGGATTTCCCGAAAATCCACCCCTTCACTCCCGATCGCATCCAACGCCAGGGTGCGTCTGGGTGGCCTAACCGGCCCCCCGGTGCGGTCGTTCCCCCAGGCCCCCCGGTGCGGTCGTAACTGTGACTCTCTTAATGATTCGTCGAAGCGAATCCTAATGAATTCGATGTGGATATTGTATTCCAACAAGATGGGGCACCATCACATTACTCCAGACAAGTAAGAAACTATTTGGATACTACTTTTCCTGGTCGTTGGATTGGCCGTCGAGGATCTACAAAATGGCCAGCGCGCTCGCCAGATTTGACACTTTTGGACTTTCATTATGGAGCTATTTGTAGCAGAAAGTGTACGAAACTGAACCAGATTCAATATTGAATATACGGCAGAGAATAATAAATATTTCTAGAGATATTGACGTTACTGTGTTCGAAAATGTTCAGAGTGAAATATCGGATAGGCTGTTCATCTGTCAAGAAGTTCAAGACAACCATTTTGAGCGTTTTCTGAACTCACCCCAAGCTTATTACCTCATATTATGTAGTTAAATGTCAATGTATTCAGGCAATTATCAAAAGTTTCGCCATTATGTAGAAGTTGACGATATTGACATTATATCCTAGGGTTGTGAAGCATTTGTCAGGAGCTTCAAAAAGATGTGTCACAAGACCCTACTTCCCATTTAATTTTTTTTTCCAGATGGCGCCCAGTCGCCATCTTGACAGTTTCATCTGTCAATTTCTGTTCAAAATGAAGTATTCATGAATTTATTTCATCATCCCAAATTTCAATATTTTGAGTTGACCCGTTCAAAAAATAAAAGCGGGGGAACATTAAAGAAAATCAGTGTATACCTTCCCACAACTGGGCGGTATGCGATAGACCCCTCTGCTGATAGTGGGTCCCTTTTGTTTTTTGCCGACCTGACACTTTGTTGTATCTTCCTGGTGGGTTTGAAAACTGTTTCAATGTGGTTTTTTTCCCAACAGTTTTTCGATTCTCTCTGTGACCCTAGGGATATACGGTAGATACGAGCGTGCAAGTATCTGATCCTTCTACCAGTTTTGAACCGTACGACTTTTGTGTTTCATGAGACATTTTGATGACATATTGTTTCTTTTGATAGTTTGAGTATTCATGAGTTATGTGAGGTTTCAGTTGTAGTGATAGGAAAATGGGAACGATTATTCATTCATTCATTGCTCGATGGAATACCTACAGTTCGTTAAAGGTAGTGCGAAAGTCAATACTGTTTCGATTATAGAAATGATACACTGAAGTAGAACTTCAGTGTATCATTTCTAATTAAAGTTCACACTTTGTCGCATAAAGCTACCCAAACTTTGTAAACGCCAAAATGTCCCAGCGCACAGTGATATCCTAAAACTAATTCTTTTACCACACTTTTTAGTATACAAAGAAGTGTTTTGCAACAAGTTTACTCAATTCCATAATCATCTTTATTTATTCGAAATTTGCTGTTTTAGTATCAATGTGACTAGTGTCTATTTCAGTTAGCCAGTCAGTATTTCACTAGTTATAGAAGTTTGAAGTATTTACACAAACATTGTTCACTTATTTTACCTGTTGAACAGATATTAAGGAAATATGATATAAATTAATTTTTTTATTTCTTTGCCAACTGTGCTTCAAAAACAGTGCATTTTTTTAATATTACTCTTCCCTAGAATTCTCTTGTTGAGTGAAAGTTAGAGAGATTCATCACAAAGTATAGACAGTCAGGTAGAGTCGAAAACGAGTTGGAAAAAGGGGAAATACAAATTGATGGAAAAAGTGAATAATTAGCCTAACCCAAATTAAGTACAGGGGAATATTACAAACTCTCAACAGTGGACCTAATACCTAATCTAGTATGAATAATCAGATTGTTGAAATGGGAAGCATGGAAATATCTGAGGAAAACGCAATCAGCTCATGAAACATTATTTTCCGGAGGCTTGGGAAAAATGGACTAGTCAGACAACTCCCAAGAACCAAAGTATAACCCCTTCCAGATCAAATTCTATTGTCTCCTATTTGATTGAAATAAATGAAAAAGCGTGATTTGGCTTACCGATAATATGTCCATATATTTCATTGCAAATCGCATCCATGGCGATGATAGGTGGCCCAGGTACGCCACTGGTGCCAGCGCCGTCATCAACGCAATTTTGTCATTGTACTCTGGTCTTAAAGAAGCCATTGCAAAATATTGAGAGGTTCCTTGAGAGTGACCTATGTAAAAAATTCTATCTTGTCCTGTTTTCTCAATGATATGATCTATAGTGGCTGGCAGATCATAGTGACCACAATCTTCAAAGCTGAAATGAAAAACTTGTATTCGAATCGTCATTGAGAATGGAGACGTAAAAATAAGAGTAACAGATGACATAGTTATTACAACATTACGAGTTGAAAATTAACAAACATACACATTAATGAAGAGAAACAGAACCAACACCGTAATCATTCCTAACCAGCGAACCGACCCAGCATAGCATATTACATTTTTTTTGTTATGGTGTCATATTAGCTCATCCATAGGGAAAGTTCCATTTCAACCTGAAGGACGTGTTTTTGAAGATCTAAAAGCAGAAAGTTCCATCTTCAAAATGTTCTGGAACAGTCCATCCGTGGAAAAAGAAAATTTTGATCTTCTAGAAATTCCTAGAAATAGTGCCGAATTATGGAGAGTATTCGAGAGCAATCCACAACATTACAGACACTCTTGGAATATTCAGCAATGCTCGAGAATAGTCAGGAACGTTCGGAAACATTTTGGAACGCTTCACACCACTCTGGAGAATATGGTAAGGTAACTCTCTATCCTTTCCACTTGAAAAAAGTTCTCGTTTCTACAAGACGAGCGTGCTTTTGAAGATATGAAGGCGGACGTTTCGTCCTCTAGGAATTTCTAGAATAATCCAGAACATCAATGATTCATACACATGAATTTTCCATTTGAATAAATCCATATTTTGGTGAAAACCGTATGAAAATTTGTTGAGTAATTTTCGAGTTTATTGTATTTAGGCAGACGGATAGACTTGGAAAGGTGTTTCTTTATAATATGTAATGATAGTGATGATGCTGGATGAAAAAAGTAGACAAAAACCACGTGAATCCACTGATAAAACAGGAAATTGTAGATTTACTCACCATTTGTCTATATCAAAATTATTTCCAGTTTGACGGAAAATTCTATTCATGCAATGAAGGACTAATAATGGGAAACCCTTTGAGTCCCTTGCTGGCGGAAATTTTCATGGATAACATAGAGTATGAAATCCATAATAATCAGTTAGCTAACAGTTTTTTGTACTGGTACTGATTTTCATCAAGTATCGGCCGATTCCATCATATATAGAAAAGTAGTTGTTTGGCACTTTACTTGTGTGAATACATTGGCAACTTGCCATCTTCCTGCTTCTTCTGCAGAAGCCGGTGCTGCTGGGTTCTGGGACATGATTCTATCTTTTGCCCAATAGCTGTTGAAACTTTTGGTGTTTTTGTCTCTGAAGCATTATCTTAAGAAATATGTTTAAAATCTGTTTTTCCGTTAATCTTTCATCAATGAAATTGAAAAAAGATAACTAATGAAACCTACGAATTAGGAGCCACATCTTTTCTCATTCAAAAAATTAGTATAGCCATTCAAAGACGAAATGGAGCTTCGTTTATTGGTACTCTTCGTGATTCTAAAAAACTTGATGAAATTTACATGTTTCCTGAAAACCAACTTTATAAAGAAACGAAAGGTAATAACAAACCACTCTATGGAATTGGAACGATGAAATTTACATGTTTCCTGAAAACCAACTTTATAAAGAAACGAAAGGTAATAACAAACCACTCTATGGAATTGGAACGAAAGCAAATGGAAAAGTTACTTTGTCACAGCAAGATTCTGAAATGGTTTCCAAAAATTTTCCAAATTGTCCAGAATATTGGCAACACCTGTTTTATGAACAGTGTAATCCAATGTTCATTGCACTATTTGCAAAAATATGAATACATGAAAGATATCAATACTAGTATTTCTACTATGGAGGGTGCTTCAAACATGGCGTTCGCATGATCTCATTCTTTACGAAATACTCTGTGGGGTCATTGAGAAGTTTTTTCTCGAATGAATACCAGAAACTCATTCCTAAACTTACTTTAAACGTTCTCTTTAACAGTTGATATCTGACTGTTCTATTCAACCATGAATGATCTAACCTTCATTTTCGTAATTTTAATTTTGTTGTTACAATATTGTTCAATTAATTTCACTGACACAAACTGAGTATTATTCCTTCAAATGAAAAATGAAAGATGACCCAAGTTTCGAAGACTCGGTAGTCCAAGTATTCAGTAACCTAAGTTTCATTAGAAATTCTGAAAACATAAAAATTTTAGCACTGTTTGCCTATGAGTTTTGTGATTTTATCGAAAAATTTCTCAGATATCAGTAAATTTTTCGTAATTCCATGAAGATATACATATTATTTTCAATGAAACTGCACTCCCTTGGAAGGATCCGGTTTGCTTTTACTGGAATTAATTGATGGGATGGTGGATACCTTATTCTTATATCACTCTTATTCAGTAAATATTTTTCTATTCATAATATTACGACTTCATGTAACGGATAAGATAAATCCACTCATGTTACGATGACAGCACGCAAAGACATTCACTCTATCATTTGATTCAATCCCAGCCAAAGGAATTTCGTTTCAATTCTCGGTTAGATTCAACTACTTGAAAAGAGCAGATGATGTTCCCAATCCATTAGTGGAAACAGGTTAATAGATTGATCATTATAACCTAGTGAAGATTCTAGAAACACTGAATGTTATTATCTGATATGAACAAATTAGACGAAGAAGAGTTATTCAAATAAATTCAATCTCTCAATAGATTTACGAATTTCTCCAAACAAATAATTGCTTTATCAGTGAGCAGGTGGATTCATTTTTCCAGTCTGAAAACGGTTTACATGCTCTTTTATAGGTGCTTCAAATTTTCTTTCAATTCCTCCTATCGAAGATAACAAAGAGTTAACTTTATTGTCAGCTAAGCAGGAGTTTATGAACCGTCGTGTGATTCACGTCCGATGACTTACATAGGTCAACCTGGAAAACCATTTGAGGTACGCATAGAAAAACATAGCAATGGTTTCTAGAAGAAAAATCTGAATTCAAGGTTCATTACTCTACCCTTCACAGAAGGACATTCAAGTTTCAATCCAAAACTCTTCGTTTCCAGAAAAAAGGAATGAGTTTTGTGAAAGTATGGAAATCAAAAATCACCAATACCTATTGAATGATGACATTGATTTGAATAACTTCGTTTTGCCTAATGTCTTCTCACCAGATCATAAATCATAGCCACCCAGGAAAAATTATTAACTATCAATAATTTATTGACCTATTTTCAATAGTAAATTAGTAAGTCTATTCGATCATTTTACGTAGTTGAATCGAGCCTAGAATATTTCATCTTGTTAAATACTAGGTGATACCTAATGTCTCCAGAGTATGTGATGGAACTGGCCGATATTGATGAAAATACTTCAATAATACTTCGTTATGAGGTTTTCACTCAAAAGTTCATGAAACCTCGACACGTGAACACGATTGAAGAATCTATTGTACAGTGAAACAGGTGTAGCGGTTCTTTGAAGTCCTGCTTGAAGGAACTATTCTATTGCGAAACACATGTCTCGGTTTCGTGTATATTCGAAGTTACGAACGAAACCCACAACATCGAATTGTAGATAGTAAACTCTCTTAACAGATACGCTAAAAGGATGATGAAATATCAAATACAATAACTCGATACACTGATAATTCAAAAATAACTCTAATTTTTTGGTCATGTTGACTTAGAACTTTCTATTTTGATAGCACAAAACTCTAATAGGTGAAATTGGAGCCTTTGGAATCTCCCACCAGCCCTGAAGTAATTACCCGAGTTGGTGAGTAGAAGTCGCGTCTAGAAACATGAATTTCGTTCTGTTGTGGGAAAATGAGGTATTTGGCCATGAAACCAATCATACCTGAAGTCCCAGAATTTTTTTGCATCAACTGTTGGATCCAGCTTCAAGTGGTTTCTCGACCATGTGCTTCCTCTGCTATTTCCCAGCCACACATCAAATCCTGCGTCGGCAAGCATGTACCCTAGCGATTTGTTGGGACCCATTATGAGCCAGTCTGCAGAGCCACTGAGCAGTCCGTGCATGAGCAGGACTGCTGGTTTGGTTTTCTCGGTATCAACCATGTTTTTTCCATTGAGAATCCTTTGCATTCTCAAAACGTAGCCATCTTCCGTAAATACATAGTGCGTTTCTACTGGATATCCGTAGTCATGCAGGAGTTGATACTGAAAGTGATAATGAAAATGAAAACGAATAGCTTCATTATTTTTCTAAAGCTACTAATTTTACAGTCACAGAGATTTGGGAACCGTAAATTCAGAAAGGGGAATGTTCTTCCAGACCATCAGATCAAGACGATATTTGTCGTCAAGTTTACGGCTCATGGCGGACCAAATATCGTTCGAAAAGAGGAAGAAAAACAGATGGAATATCGAGATTTTCTCTTTGAACTTCACAGACTCCACCAAGACCACTCTGGTTGTTTCGATTATTGAAGTCATTTGTGGAATGAATTTCTAATTTCGAATCTCAACATCTTGCCGGCTCGCCACATTGGGGCAGAAATCCCAGCTAAACGAATGCAGAAAGCTGTCATTCTTGACTCACTGCGTCTGCTTAGGGCGGCACATGATTCTCGGACTCAAGGACCACTTACCCCATGGTGTAGAGAGTGATCATTTTTTAATAATGTTAGCGCTCCCTTCCAAATGTATTGGGTCTTCGGGGAAAGGGCCTGACCAAAGCAACCTTAGCAAATAATAATAATAACCGTTTCACCTAGGAAACTTCCATTAAGAGAAAGTAACATGGATAGTATTCGCCCAAGGTGCCAAAAAATTACCTATGAAATTATTATTTTGGCCAGTTTTGCGAAAATTATCAATGCCACTCAAAATAATGTTCCATAGCTTATGAGCGTTTATGCTTCGCGGATGACTTGAAATTATTTTATATAATTAAGGAAGTAGGTGATTGTGTAAATCTTCAATCTCAATTAGAATTTCTTGTTACTTGGTGTATCAATAATGAATTGAAACTCAATGTGGAGAAATGTAATGTAGTGAGTTATAGTCGAAAAAAGAGGTTTATACATTCTCGTATGTAATACAAGATTCAGATCTGCTGAGATGTAATGAGATCAAATACCTAGGGGTAATATTCGATCATAAATTAACATTTGGTAGACATATTTCATCTTCAAGAGGAAGATAAAACTGTTTTATCTTCCTCTTGAAGATGATCACTTGGTGATCGAAACACGTGTCGAGGTGTAAAAATAACGATTTGGTGTTGGGAAAAAACTCCAGTAATATTCATTACTACACCAAAGGTTCCAAACAGTATATCACAAAAACTAAGACATTTTATTTATGTTGCGTTGAGTGAAATTGAAAAAAAATTGGCGATACATTGAAAGTATCTTATGCAGCTGAAAATCTGTAATTAGGCTGAAAATTTATTTCAGAAAAATTTTACTGTTCACACTGTACAACAATGATTAGATAGGTATAATATTCGAAACGGGGAATCATACTTACTATGTCTTTTCCAACATCAGGATGGGGTTTGATTTTACGTGTTGCATTAATTAAGGATTCAGGCAATAACTTCATCAATTCATCTTCGTTGTGTTGAAGAGAATTGTATACGCTTGAAATAAGTATTACTAGTTGAATGATCCGCATTTTCCTCCTAATAAAATAAACCCAAATACAGTATTATGATGGGGGATCAGTTGCAGCACTGAAATAAGTGATGCATCGTTATCAAATAAGGATATATTCCTGATATGAATTGAAGAGTTACTTATCGTTCTCCAAAGTATTTTTTCATTGTATGTTAATGTCTGTGATACTGATTATTGATAGTATTTTTTTCAACTGTGCCTGCTTTTCGCATCCAAAAAATCTAAATTGAGATGAAACGTTACTTCGTCGTTACAAAATATTCATTACGCAATAACTTATTCGAGTGTTTTTATCAATTGAGTGGATTATCTTCATGCTGAAGGTCATACCTTTTTGTTAAATCCACTTGATCTAATGAAATTTGTTTTCCCCAGAAACCCGAACTAGAACACTTTCTCTCGACAAGCGTTTTGCCAGTCAAGTCAGGATAATCAGGAGATGACTGAAACAAATTCCTTTCAATTATTTTAGATCCTTCTATTTTCATCCTTCGATTCCACCACGTACTACCAGCTGAGGGCACATCAGAGACGCCACAAGGGTTCAATCTTGGGCCGTTGCTATTTTAATCATTTATTGACGACTTTTCCCGAAAGTGAGTACATCTACAAAGTGACACTGATTTAAATTTTTCGGTGGTGTCTTAATAATCATCTTCAATTAAATATTTCCAAATGTTTCGTCGTTTCATATTGTAAGAGGTATGATACGATTATTGATTCCAATATCAGGAGATGTAGAGAGATCAATGACTTGGACATTATGTTTTATCATTGTGATTGTAACAAATTAAAAGTCAAATTTAGAAACATCAAAGTCAAAGCCTATTATGATATGAATTGATTTTTTCCAATATCTCCAATTTTTCGAAAAAGAATGGTAACTTATGGTACATCATTGAAAAGGAAAAATCTGGTTCTATTCAAAGCAGAAAGAATCCAATGTAGCGAACATATGAAAAAATAAAGTTGATGATGGTGACCGGAAGACGAAACGTCGGATAGCAAATCTGAAAACACCATTATATAGCAGGGAATGTGAAAATGCAATTTATTTTCGAATCCTTCGAAAAATAAAGCCAAAAAAATAGAAGCCTTTTTCCGAAATTTATGTTTTTTCCGGATATCTCCGGATATACTCGGAATTTCAGAACTTTCTAAACGGCATATTATTATCCAGGTAAATGCGCAACTTTGCCCCGATTTAATCATCTTCGTATCTCTCATAGTTTCCGGAATCCCAATGGTGAGGATCGAATTTGAAACACCCTGTATATTATAGTCATGTAAGAAACAAACCTACTCACTTTGCCAATATTGAACGCATCAAGAAGTGATTTTTTGGAATTTCTGTACAGAGATAGTCTATAAAACAAGTGGAAATTATCCTGAAAGAGAAATTGTTTATTCTGTGTTACGGAATCAGTTCCATTTTGTATTGTTGAGCATAAAAAGATTACATATCACTACTAAGTTCCTTTATAATTCAATCAATAATTACATATATCGTGGGTCGTTGTTGTTCAAAATCTGTTCAGTCCAGTCTTATTAGGGATTTCAGCTCGGAGTGAGAGATAATGAGCTGTAAACTTGTATGAACTTTCATTTATTTTGGTGTTCTAAAAGTTGTCTCAAAGGTCTCATGAAATTTTGGATCTGTGCCGGAAGTTATTCAAGGTCAAATGTCACAAAAATAATTTTTTTTGCGATTATCTCGGTTTGTATAGCTTCAGTGATGATACATTCATTTTAAAAATTGCAGAGCGATAAATTTCTTTCAAAAAAGCTCGTTAAAGAGGAGGAAATTTCCGATAAAAAAGTCCCGACTCCCGAAACTCTATCTCCATTATTTATAATTTTAATTTGACGTTGAAAATAGGGTTCCGCGCATCTGTTACGGCATGCGTGCGCCGCCGCTAAAGGGAGTTTATCAAAAGAAATAATTTTTTTATAACATAAAATGTCATTTTGAAAATTTGAAAAAAATAGTATCTTCTCAACACTTGAATGAATCGAGTCCCGTAGAAAAAAGTTTTATCACCATTTTTCAAAAAGTTGTTCAATTGTTAACTAACAAATTTTTTCCCAATCTCCGTTGGCGTAAATAATGGGATAAAAGGTATAAATAATTGGCCTATAAATTTTAAACTTCGTGGAGCCCTCTTGATATATATACTTCATACGATCCTGCGATAAAAGTTCATAAAAATTTATTAATTTGTTAATTATGATTTTTTATAACTATTGCAAAATGAAATATCTGAAAATTGTTGATAATTTTTTTTTTTCAATTGATATTCAGCTATGTCTGTTTTCACATTGAACAATGGCAGTTATTAACATAGGATATGATTTTTTTACGTAATTTGTTTATTAAATTGTTTCAAACAAATAGAGAAATTCAATATTGAAAAAAAATATATCTGCTATTTTGTTGTCTAGAGATATTCATGATTTTTTAAAATAAAAATTTTTCCTAATTTTGATTTTTAATGATTTTGGATCGATTTTTTTATATTTTGATTGTTTTAATAATCAGTTAAGAAATAATTTTCACACTTTCAACGTGTGATTCCTAACACGGGTTGGACGAAAGCAAGTGAAAATCTATCGTTCGGCCTGGGGCTTGAACCACTGACTAACACGGCGATCGATTTAGTGAGTGAACAAAGCACCCACGTCGAACAGACCGATACATTCTAATTATTAACAATTTATTTATTTATTTAATAATACTCACCTTTTTTACCTTTTTTTGGATTTATAAACAGATACAGGGAGTTGAAAAAAAAGGTGTTTGTGAAATGTCATAAATATCCTTACACCGATTTGGTTGAAATTTGCTATAGTTATATAAGTAATGAGGCGCTTGTAGTTCGAACTAAATTGAAATTAATAGGTCCAGTAGCGTCTCAGTGGGCGCCACAACCAACAATATTGAGAAAAAAGAACGCCACTGACTGCTCTATAGTTTTTAAATTTTTTAGATACAGCAACTAAAAATACAACTTTCTTATGACATTGCATTTGTCAATTATTCAATTCCACAAGTCATGCACATCTAGTGCAGGAGTTGTATACACAAGTGCCTTCAGATAACTTCAAGAATAGAAATCTAGAGGATTCATATCAGGACTGCGAGCTGGCCAATTTTTAGATCCTGCACGTCCAAACCAGCGATTAGGGTAGGTGATGTCGAGATGCTGACGAGATAGAAAACTGAAACGAGCTGGAGCCCTATCGTGTATAAACCACACGTTGCCTCTTACAAGTATCGGCTCTTCTTCTAACAAAATGTGTGAATTATCTCGCAAGAAGTCCGTGTAGGATTCACCTGTTTATCTTCCTGGTAGAAAAAATGGGTCAATTAGGTACCCAAACGTTCAGCGAAAATTGTTGATGAAATTGATGTTTTGTTGTAACGTGGGGATTTTCATTGGCCCATCATTGTGAAAGTCCACAATAGCATCTCGTGAAGAATGTGCTTCGTCCGTAAATAAAATAGTTGGTAAAACATTATTATTGTGTGCCTGCAAAACATTAATCTTGGGTGAAAATCCAGAAGCAGTAGAGCTTGGATCCGATGTATGTGATATGGTATAGGAGGTTTTTTAGAACTGTCCATACATGTTTTGGACTCCAGTTGCAGTTCAATTTTCCTGGTACTATTTGAAGGATCTTCTTCTATCGCATCAAGTAGAGTTCCTTCTAGTTCAGCCGTTTTTACAGTTTTTGTTCAAAACTCTCTAAATACTCGATAATTTTTGGAAAATGGAGCTTTTTGACTTCCACTTCTCCAGAATGGTGAAAAAATTGTATACTACACAGATCTCTGTATCGCAAACGATTCATCAACAAATGACGTGATAAAATGTATCTAGAGTTAATTGCTGCCATTGTTAAACAATAATAATTAACAGTTGTGAAAAAAATCATAAATAATTATTTGAATATTCAAATAATTTGCAACTTTGAAGAATTATAATAAGCAATGTAGTACCACTAACTTTTGTTAGTTAACAATTGAAGTTTCATTGCCAAGACGAAGCCTAGTCAATTGTTTAGCAAAAAAGTTGAATTGAAGATATGAAGGAAAAATTATTCATTACTCTTCCTGACAAGAAAAATTACTCTCATTTATTATAGTGGAACAATTTAGCTTCTACAGAGAATATGGAAAATTGTGGACCATCAGGCTGGTTATCATTTTTTTAAATACACTGATGATAAGGCCCACAAACAATGGCTTGGTAACTATGAATTTGAAACAATCCACAAGATTACGTTGAATTTTCAGAATTATCAAATTCACAATTATTTACTGAGCATTGTTTCCGTAGAAGTTTTGCTAAATTGTTAATGGACATATTTTAGTGGGGTTATGTTGGAAAATGTTTGCACATTACTGTAAATAAACAGAACATCCATTAATATTATAGAATTTGATCTGCTTCCATTTTTTATGTTTTGTGTTATGTTTGTTATGGTCTGTGTTTTGATTAACCATCAATAATTGAGTTGAAATTATGAATTCTGTCGTTCTTTCCATAAGTATCTGGCATTGATTATATTTTCCACAAAAATATATTTACAGTAGGTAACTTTGTTTTTTTTTGCAGGTAAGACATTAGACAATTCCGATATGTTTGTTGGGGGTTAGAATGGACACCAACATGTCTTGGCACAATCATGTCACCGGAATTGCAAAGGCTGATTCTCAAAAACTAGGAACATTGTTCCGAATCAGAAAAATGTACACACCTCAGCAATTTTTGATACTTCATAAACCTCAGATCAGACCTTCTTTGGAGTATTGTTCTCATGTATGGAGCTCTGCCCCAAACATATCCTGAAGTTGCTGGATTCCATCCAGAAAAGAGCTATACGCCTGATTGAAGACGCGAATTCACGTGCAACCTTGATAGCCTGGAACATCGAAGAAAGGTTATAGATTTGTCTTTTTTATATAGATACTTTCACGGGAAGTGTTCAAGTGACTTGGCACATTTGATTCTACCAAGAGCAGTACATATCAGAAGTACGCGACGGACTGTGGCTACTCATCGTTTTGCGGTTCAACTCAGTACATCGATTGTTATTACATGTTGGTTATCATTCATTTGTAGTTCCAATTCATCTTGTAGAAACTTCACTAAGAGTTGTCTCAGACGCGAAATTTACATTGAAATTTCCTAATAA